AGAAGCTGTTTTATAAACAAACCTATAATGTCTTTTCCTGATCTAACGAATATCATACACCTTTTATTCCATAAGAAACATATACTATAAGATTTCTTCAAGTGGAACTATTATTCCAGAATAATTTTTTTCCCATTTGGATTTGAACTTCCATTCCAGGACATAAGCCTGCAAGGAAAGGTATTAATCAAACTAACCCCGCCGCATTTTTGTGCCTGTCCCAAGTCAGGATCCTCTGGCCTTTGTTAGTCTTGTATCATTTTTAATTTTAGTTTCTTGTGTATAATTTGGAGTTTAGTATGACGTCCATTATCACTGAACTAGTATACATATTTGTTTAGGGGCCAGCTGAAGGACGCCTCCGGGTGCGGGAGTTTCTCGCTGCATTGAAGACCCATTGGTGGCCTTCGGCTGTTGTCTGCTCTATGGTCGGGTTGTTGTCTCTTTGACACATTCCCCATTTCCATTCTCAATTTTATTTTAAATAAAGCTGCATGTTTATGGGGCCTTTATTGTGGTATTATCTCTGTATAAACATATGTAATCCGATGAGGAATGTTTCTAGTAAAGGTTTCATATATTAAGACGTATGTTATACAATAATATATATGTAGCTGCATACTAAGTATCATCATCCTTTACGACCGACAAAAACATCGCTGATTTTCAAGTTATACAATCTTCATGTCATAATACATCATTAAATATTTTATATAACCCAGCGAGGACATGCATCACTTGACTTCCGCAGGCTATATCTTTAAATAGCCTGGTATCGAGAAGTCTAAGGTGCTGGAGACAGTTCGTCAGTACTGACATGATTTACAGCATACCTCTCTAAAATTCTCCGTTAAGGAATTTAAAAATTAATAAGAAACTACTTGAGGCAAATTTGACATTATGTTGATTTGGCTTTTCTTTTTATGTCAATTTTGGTCAAATAACTCTTCATTTGTTCAGGTACTTATCCATTCCCGGCTTTCACATTTATAGGTTTGAATATTCCTGATGAAAGCAAGTAAGAAATTTATAAGCATTATTTACATTTACTCACAGAGAAAACATTCGTACTCACAAACAGTAGACAGACTTATGTAACATAGGGAAACATACAATCGAGTGTCACAAAATAGCCAACAAGGGTCTACGAAATGTATGCAGTTTACTAATACTAGCAAGACTAGTAACTCGATTGCAGTCCACTGCACCAGGACACTAGCAAGCGGAATGTACTGATTTCAGAAGTAATCATGACGACACGTATGATAAAAAATCAATGCCAATGATGCGACTGCTGAAAACAATGAAATGCCATAATTTCAATAAATAATTCAAGCTGTAAGTAACTCAGTTTTAAGATAATAGTCCTGCAGTACATATCAATCACGTACATCCATCCGATAAATAAAACTGTTATCCTATTATTTGAAAGCATTTAAACTTAAAAATTCAATTAAACTTAAAAAATCAATTTAAAAAAAAGCAAGAAGATTAATTACCTTTGAGGAAACATTGAACGAAATTAATTTATACATGTATGTACAATCTTGACGACAGTTTTTAAATTTGGCACGTATGATATATCTATGCATGTGTCTGCTTGTGTGTCTGTACATATGAAAATGAATTATGTACTACTTTACATCCTTAGGTTTGTTAATATACTGATGGTTTAAAGAACTCTTACTACTGCAATATGTATCTGATTAGATTGACATAAATGAATCGAGTACCTGGTATGTATAAATATGCCAAAAAACATTGTAATGAATAAAAAAAAAAACTTTCAATTTGGTGCATACGAACAGCTTTTCTTGATTTACCTACAACGATAAAAAGCCAGTGGCGTAGCACCAGTGTAGAATTAAATAATTTTATAAAACATTTTTCCCAATAAAAATTTTACTGGAAAATTTCCCCTTCTGGGTGGCTGCTGCCCTCAAACCCCTTGCTTACAATCTATTTTCAAGTTGCTACGCCACTGATTGCCGTATAAATGCTTGGATATTTCAGGAGCTATATGTTCAAAAAGAATAGCCAAATTCACCTTAGTTCAGCTTTGCCTGTCGGAGTTGGGCCTTAATAATTTCTAAATGTATCAACGGAGATTGTAAGAATAGTATTAGAAATATCATTACATCACTTTTTTGTGCGGAAGAATAAAAAGTATGATTAACCGATTCACTAGAGAACTGCAAACAAAGTCTTAACAGCATAAAAAGTAAAATATTTTTTTAATCTACGGCATTCGATCCGTATGTCCTATGCACGCAATTCACCATTACATTATAAAGAATACCTAGAAGTAAAATTCTAAAGTATGAAACTTCATGAGAGTTTCCGAAAGTTAAGAAAGTTAAACTCAGGGTAAATCCCAATTACTATTGAGGTTTTCATTGGATTTTTTTTTTATGCCTAATGTATTGTTCTAAACTTTTTAAAAATGATTTGTTTTTATTTATTACGAATAGACAGAAGGAAGGAGAATACTTTTGAACAATAATTGTTTTTTGAAGAGAACTTTTAAATATACATTTAAACTATACTAAAGATACTAATCTTTCTAACAGGAAGTTGTTCTCTCTTTGTTACATCTGTCATAAAACAGTTACTCTTAAAATATACTGAAGATACTGTAACCTATCGCAATTCCCACAGAAATATAGGTTAGGCCATTTTATCTGTGGTAAATTTGTCATGACAGATTATGTTTCCCTTAAATATATGTCAAATCATCTCAGAGCAGTTAAACATACCTGAAGAAGGCACATCATTGTTTATTTGCAATGCTTAACAGTTCCAAAATATTTACTAATTACTAAGTAATAGGAACCCAAAATACCTTTTCAATAAATTCTGACCTCGGGGGAAAATATTTTCGTGTCAAAAATTATCAATAATAAGGTTTACTATTGATTAAAATTTTCGAGCATCAGTAAATGGCATATAAAGTAGTAACCAAAACAGCAAGTAGGACATTAGGTAGGACTGTTAATTGTGAAGAGTTAACTTATGGAATAACACTAACTATACAAATTTTACTGTACCAGATGCGCATTTAAACACGATATGTATCTTCAGTAATGATTGAGGTTAAAATATTTGAAAGTCCAAAACCTCTCTAGATGAGGCATCATATTAAACGTCCCCATTCTGATTGGACATTGCTGCGAATTCATACATCCAAGTGGACGCCCCACTTTCGCAAGGGTTTTACTGCCAGTCGGAAGAAGACCAAGACACGACTAAGTTTCTATACTTCCAGTTAAAAAAGAATACTAGTAACACCCAGCATTCCCATTCAAGCACTAACGGAGCTCGAAATTGTTAAACTTCCGTAATCGGACGAGAACCGTCGTTTTCGCCTCGATTTTATTTAATTGGGAAAGTATTTTATATCATTATCTTTTAAAGAAACAGAACCATTTTATTTGAAAATGAAAAAAAAAAAAAAAAAAATATACAATGTATGTAGATGTGTACATACTACGTGTATTTCTTATAAAATCTCTTATAAATCTTTTTAAATTGGTGCATGCATACAAAAGTTTTGAATTGTTTTATGTGTTTTTGTGATTCTTATTATAATTTGTTTGTGGTGAGACTATAAAAATATTATTGAATCTATATCTACCAAATTCAGACACCTGTGGCACAGACAACATCACTATCCAAGTTATAGACATACATGGAGTATGATGAGTTTGGAGTCAACTAATTTTTGTTTTTTTGGCCCCCTATGGGTTACTTAATAAAGAGCTGCGCTATGAGCGCATGATACACGCGTCGTTTTTTTCAACGAATAAAGTTCCATAACTCCTCAATGTCATATCAGAAATTTATAAAAAAAAAAAACGAAAGGGAGGTTACTTTAATAGATATAAGCCAGTCACCAAAGTTTTACAAAAACTGCTACAAAAAAATTGAGTTATTGTCCGAAAACTGGAAAATCCCCCCTTTTTAATGAATAAAATCCCATAACTCAGAAACGTAAAATTTAAAATTTATAAAAATCAAAAGGGAGCTTAAGTCAATAGATATTAACAATTCACCAAAGTTTCAATGAAAACTGCTCAAAGCATTTTTGAGTTATTGTCCAAAAACTGGAAAATCCCCCTTTTTAATGAATAAAACCCCATAACTCGGAAATGTAAAATTTAAAATTTATAAAAATCGAAAGGGAGCTTACGTCAATAGATATAAATAAATAAACAATTCACCAAAGTTTCATGCAAATTGGTTGAAATGTTTTCGAGTTATTGTCCGACATGTTGACGACGGACGTATGGACAACAGTATACCATTACGTCCCATAAAAGGGCGTATAAAAATTATTTGTTATCATTGGTCAAGTTTGCATATACATTGCATAATGGAACTCCTGATTTAAGCTTCAAATTTCTATATAGTTTGGTAGAATTCCACTGATTTACTGGTCATCACGAAATTGGTTTTCCACTATTATTCTATCCTTAGGGTAAATATCAAAATTCAGAAGCCTTAGATGAATGTGCATTTACAGTTTTGGGCATTAACTTATAAATGTTTAGATGTTTGACAAACAACATAGCATGTAACATATTTTGAAAGTACATCATTTAGTGTGTATGTCCTATACAAACAATGCAATTCAAATTCAACTTGGTAGTTATTAATTACTCCATCAGGCAAAGTTGACATTAGATGAATCTGGCAGTTCTTATTAAGTCCCTTTTAGTTAATTCACTTCTGAAGTTTTTACATATTTATGAGGGGGTGGACAGGGGGGTACCCTTCTCCCACCTCCCGCCCCCTATCTCCCACCTCCCACTTTAGAATCTTTTTTTCTCTCCCACCTCCCGCCCCCAGTTCTCCCGCTTCCCATACCCTCAAAAGCTGTCCACTCCCTCATTTATTCCTTCAAGGCTTTAAGATGTTGAGGTTTGAGTGTTACTGATGTAGGTCTTTCCAGATCTTTTGATGCACAAAAAAGGGTTAATTTCATTTACTACAACTATGACGTTTAATGACCTTGACTTCTTTATGTTTATTACAATATTCAACATTGTGTATATACAATATAACACAAGAATATTCACATTACAATGATCAATTAAACCAAGTCATATATCATCAAAACACAATAAAGCAATTAAATTTTTAGTGACTTGTACAACTATATTGTCCTTTAAAAAGTGTGTTTTTTTCAGAAATAATTCTCATGCTACGTACTTACATGCACACATAAATAATATAATGTTGTAATTTATATTTAAGTATGTACTTAGGTGAAATTAACAAAATCTAGAATTTAAAATTGATACTATAAGTCAGAAGAGCATTAGTTAAGGAACACCATTAGCTAAATATATTGATAGGTTATGGAGCTCCTTTTCGAGATATTTATTTTTTTTTAAATGGCGGTAAAAGGCTGACTTGGACTTTTACCTTATATTTGCATTGGTATTATTTGGGTCTCAAATCGAAAAAAAAGAAATCTAGAATCTGCTTAAATTTTGGTAAATGACCTTTTATGAGCTATTGAAGTCTTATATGAAAAGAAAAATGGGTGTTATGGGGCAAAATATTTTAACCTGTATCGTCAGAAAAAAACCAAGGAGACCGAACATCTGACACAAATTCCTAAACCTGACCCATCCTTAAAATATGATAAGGTAAACTTTAACGAACTCTGACTACCATTGGTAACTAATACTACTACTACCAGGTATTGAAGGACCTGTAGTTCAGTGCTTGTTGTTTGTGCTGTATGTCATATTTTTTTTTCGTTTATTGTTTTGTACATTAATCAGGTTTAGAATTTGATAATGATAGATAATCCTATTTATTCCTTTTAATCAATTATGTAAATTGTCTTGCCATGATACAAAGGCTGTTATAATTTGGGGATTCTGATCCCATGCATCTATACACTGTAAGGATTGTTTCAAAGATTTTAATTTCTAACCATTACAAAGCTATAAATGGATCAAAGAGGAAAAAACAATAAGCTCTGAATTTTAAATCTATTTTTGATGGATTCTTCTTCTGTAAGTTTCTAAGAATTTTCCCCATCTGATCTTTCAATCATATCTGACCTAGTTCCTATGGTATCTACACAAAGTTAGGTTCAAAGTTGCTAAAAGAGGGACGAAAGATACCAGTACCAGAGGGACAGTCAAACTCATAGATCGAAAACAAACTGACAACGCCATGGCCAAAAATAAAAAGACAAATAGACATATAATAGTACAGATGACACAACATAGAAAACTAAAGACTAAGCAACAGGAACCCCACCAAAAACTGGGGGTGATCTCAGGTGCTCCGGAAGGGTAAGCAGAGCACAGACAATATTTTTTTATAACATTGGAGTTGCTGCTCGTTTTTGGCATTGAATGCCACCTACCAAAGAATTAAAATAGATTTGCTGTGACTCTTACAATGTTTGATGCTATGGTGTTATTAAGTCAAGTAAATATCATGGTCACTTTGGCTTTAATTATACAGTGGTAACATGTAGTTCCTGGCATAGCATGTTCTAAGGTATACATGAGGTCATCAAATTCATTCATTATGATCCTAAACATTAACATGCCCAGACTAAGTGGGCTCTTTCCAGAGTCATGTCATTATCCATGTGCATGCCATTAATAATGTTTATGCAAATATCACAATAAATATTCTCATTTATAAACTCTGTTTTTTAAACAAATACAATCTGAAAATGTCTATAAAACAAGGATATTGTAAAAATCTGCTTATCAACTTGAATTTAGACAGAAATTCATTATGATTCATTTGTTTAAAACTGTTTAACATCAAAGGGCAGTAATTTATACATATCAAGGACAATTTCATTAATGACAAATGCATATACCCTGTGATGTTCTATATTGACACCCAGTCAGCTATTGAATGTGTTAGCTCATAAGGTTGCAGACTGTAGGAAAAATGTCACACATTATTCTTACTATAAGCCAAACAAGTATTTGCTTTTTAATCCACTCCCCTTACTTATTGATGCAGCAGAATATACCAATTGTATGATCATTTGTTTGACCAAGTCCCTACCAGGAGACTACAGAATTGGTGGCAAACAATTTACAAGATATTAATCATTAACCTCAGTTGAATAATAAATTTCCAGGATGAAAAATATATCATTATCAAGGATCTGGAAATTTTTCCACACAATTTCGGTCATTTTGAGATGGTTGAAAAGTTGGTGCCCCTTTCCAAATTGTCGATGTCAACTTGAGTCTTGACTAGATTCATAGCATCAACGAACTTGTATTGCTGTTTCATCGCATTTACTAAGTAAATGTCTTACCATTACCATGAAGAACAGTTTAGGGAAGGCAATAGTTTAAAATTGAAATGATTTTAATGACTCAAAATGGTAAATCTCTCAGACATTGCTAACGTTTCTTTCGATTTGACAAAAGTTAAAACCGGAAGTTAGCGATAATGTTAAAGTACGAATAATTCTGGATTCATTTCCGGGATTTGTTTTGTTTATCAAATTGACAGGAAATCACCGGCTTTTTATGTTTTTTTTTTATTTTATTACCTTTAAAAGTGTTTGAATGTAACACACAATAGTTGCACTCGTTTAATTTAGCATGAAATCAATTTGCATTTTACGATTAAATATTAAATTTGCTGAAGACAATTTCACACATGCGTATTATACAGTAGATAAAGCACATGAAAAAATACTTTTTTCTCCGTGAATTTAGGTTCAATTTTTAAATCAGATTTGATGATTGTCTTTGCTTGAAAAGTAATTAAATAATGAATACACTTGTCAGAGAATTTCAATTTTTGTTAAGATATTATTCTGAGCTTGTGATCACTGTCAGGTGTGAATTAAAACCACAGGTAAAAAGTGATTAGCGATCATTAGCCAATGTTTCCCGGAGGCATTGATATAGATATTAGGAGGGCCCTCAGGATTATCAAACTACTGGAGTGGCAGTTTTATTACAGGAAAGGGATTATAAACAAAACAAGTGATCACAACTTACACAAGACAGTGCAAAATGGCGATTAAGAAATCCAATTTCAAACATTGAGTCAATGAAATGACCGAAATTACTTCTTTAAAAAAATAAAATTTGTCCTAAATCCCAATTACTCGTTTAGGACAAATAGTTTCATCTTAGGACATGACTGGCATATATGACTGTTTCCGGACCCTTGATCATTATACATATGAAACAGATAGCTATATTTGACTGCAACTTCATGATGATTTACATCATAAAACAAAGAATGTTCTTTTTCACATTATCAAAAGAGAAGAATCAATTATAGTGTTTTTTAGTTTTTCATAATTTCTGTGTGATTTAATGTTTGATACAAAAAAAATAATGTCATAATTATGTTTTACAAATGAATATCCACTAAATCAGCCTTCATCAAGTCATCCAAAAATGCTGATTTAATAAGCCCTCTGGTGGTCGTATGTTTCCATTATGTTTTAGACTATTCTGTAAAAAATCTTCCAACCTTGACATTGGTCCACCTCCACTTGGGGAAGCCACTCTTTTTAACTTTGGTAAGAATTCCTTTATCAAAACATGTAATAACTTGACAAACTGTTTTCTATAATCTCTGTATAAAGCATGTCCTGTGACCTCTAGAAGGTCAAATGTCATTGTTGCTGTAATATCAGGAAGAGGCTCAATGTTCATCACCATTGACAACCATTCCCAAGCATGCTCAGTGCCATATGGATTAGGACCTCTTGGAGGATGAGCTACCATGACTGAAGCATAAAGTCTCATTATTCCTGACATTCTTTTAAGAAACTGATCTTGTTTTTCTGCATTTCCTTCAGAATCATACTTATATCCCAAAGCCCTGAAATATGAAGTATAATGAGTAAAAATTTTTAATCCTGGTATCTGTGATGAGTTCATGTAAAATACAGGTATCCAGTTATTATACACTGCATATTTATGTTGACCTTAACATGTCTTTGTGTTGTTGATTTGCTATCTCATTAAAGTATATTCGACATTACTTTTTATTCATATATTTTCCTAGAATGTCCTATAGTTATAAACAATATGAATAGGAGCTTGAGTAAAAGTTTTTTCCACAAAATTTTCTTTTATATTCTAAAACAAATGAGTGCAAATTTTTATCATTGTAAACCCTTCACTGTCGCATTTTTTCCAATTATAAAAACATCACAACAATTTCTGAATTTACAGTATTTGATATGTAGAAATTATGTTTCTCTTAAAAGGGCTAGCTACGAGAGTGAAATAATAATTCGCTTTTAGCAACCAGTATGGTTCAATTTTGTCAAAATAAGCTAAAAAACATTGATGATGAATTATTCACTTGCAAGTGAATAATTCGACCTCATTGAATCCATATTCATGTGAACTTCAATTTAACCCCTAAGCTAGAGATGGATAATGCATGCATTGTGCATGTTAAGTTATTTAAAGGGAAAGAATGTCAACATTGAAAGTGAAACAAAGGTAAATCATTTGATTTACTGATTCAATCCACAAAAAAATCATTCTTATACAGGTAAAAACGATGATTAACATATATTTTTAATCTATAATATGAAATTAAACAGACCTAGAAAAATCAAATTACATGAGTTCACTTTCTATTTATATTTCTATTTATGTTTATATTGCTTATATGACCATCGGAGGTATTTGGAGGTCAACTCGATAGTTAATTAGATGGCGTCAAGACTAAAATACACACGAAACAAAGTTACTTATTATCAAGCCTATGCCCTGTAAATAGTTTATTTTATACTTTTTATAATTTGGATAAATGTTTTATATGGTAATAAATCAATTATGAGAATTTGAGTCAAATCAGTGAACATGACTTTGACAGCTAGTGCCCCTTTAACAAAGTCAAAACAAAATAATAATGACTTAACACAGACAATAATCAACTGACACACAGAAATGTATCTAAACAACTGACACACAGAAATGTATCTAATCAACTGACACACAGAAATGTATCTAAACAACTGACACACAGAAATGTATTTAATCAACTGACACACAGAAATGTATCTAAATAACTGACACACAGAAATATATCTAAACAACTGACTCACAGAAATATATCTAATCAACTGACACACAGAAATGTAACTAAACAACTGACACTCAGAAATGTTTCTAAACAACTGACAAACAGAAATGTATCTATACAACTGACACACAGAAATGTATCTAAACAACTGACACTCAGAAATGTATCTAATCAACTGACAAACAGAAATGTATCTATACAACTGACACACAGAAATGTATCTAAACAACTAACAAACAGAAATGTATCTATTTTTAGTGAACTTTCATTGCTTTGCTACTGTCTACTTTATATATCTATCAGAGATCTTTTTTATAATACAAATGCAGCAGAAATTACCAATACACCTTTACACAATATTTACATAGTAAAAAGAGATTTTAATTTGTTGAAATCAAAGTTTCTAGTCTATAGAGCTCTAGGAAATAAATGATTTGAGGCACTGTATATTACCTTAAAATGATTAATATGCTTTTTATTTGGTGCAATACTTTATTAATTCTTTCTCAAATTTGTCTGCTTTTTTTGTTTAATTTTTTTTATAGTAAGAATGGATGATAAAGGGACTGCATTCAAGACAAGAATACTTGAAGAAAACAAAAGAGCTGGCTTCAAGAGAAAGATAGAAATATTTCAATTTGTATGTTTGTTTCTTACTTCAGATAATCCTCCATAGATTGTCCATCAGATTTACTGATATGGTATGGTACTGTATATGGACACAGCTGGTGAAAATGTCCCTGTAACATAGGGAGTATGTCAGGATGATCAGCTAACAACCCAACTGTAACTGCTGCTATAGCAAAAGCTGAACTGTGCTTAGCAGATACCTGCTCCTCTCCTTTTTTCTGTAAGAGAACATAATAAATAAAATAATGAAATGTAAGAAACAGCATATCATATGATAAACAGTGAAAATTATAGAAAAAAAAACTGTGTATAAATTGATTCCTGTCTAATAAAAAAACTTTTTAGTCTCAATTGAAATATTGCATTTCATAGGATTCTTGTTTTGTGTACATCAACGTAATACTCTTTTGTTTTATGTAATATGTTCACTAGTCCACATAGCCATCAAAGTACAGATTACTTGCAAAATGAATTTAATTACAAATACATGCTTAAAATAAAATGCTCCGCAGGGCGCAGCTTGATACGACCGCAGAGGTCGAACCCTGAACAGTTGGGGCAAGTATGGACACAACATTCAAGCTTGATACAGCTCTGAATTTGGATTGTGATTAAATATTTGACACAGCATAGGTTTCTGACACAGAATGAATGTTATCTAAGAACTTAAAAATTTTAAATTGGACATTCACCTATTATGGTCCAATATCCAAAATCTAAATACATGGTTAGATTCAGCATATCAAAGAACCCCAAGAATTCAATTTTAGATGAAATCAAACAAAGTTTAATTTTGGACCCTTTTGACCTCAATGTGGACAAAGTTGATAACGGGGCCCAAAAATCAAAAATCTAAATACATGGTTAGATTCAGCATATCAAAGAACCCAATATATTCAATTTTTGTTGAAATCAAACAAAGTTTAATTTTGGACCCCGATTTGGACCAACTTGAAAACTGGGCCCATAAACAAAAATCTAAATACATGTTTAGATTCAGCATATCAAAGAACCCTAAAAATTCAATTTTTGTTAAAATCAAACTAAGTTTAATTTTGGACCCTTTGGACCTTAATGTAGACCAATTTGAAGACGGAACCAAAAATTAAGAATCTAAATACACGGTTAGATTCGGCATATCAAAGAACCCCAATAATTCAATTTTTGATGAAATCAAACAAAGTTAAATTTTGGACCCTTTGGACCTCAATGTGGACCAATTTAAAAACGGGGCCCAAAATCCAAAAACTTAATACACGGTTAGATTCAGCATATTAAAGAACCCCAAGAATTCAAGAATAAAACCCCATTGAAATTGATCAAGAAATAAGCAATTTATACGAAGTATCTTCTTTTGTACAATACTGTGCAATTGAATATTTCTTGCTATTGTGCAATACTGTACAATTGACAATTTCTTGCTATTGCGCAATATTGTGCTATTGGATATTTCTTGCTATTGCGCAATACTGTGCAATTGAAGATTTCTTGCTATTGCGCAATACTGTGCAATTGAAGATTTCTTGCTATTGTGCAATACTGTGCAATTGAAAATTTCTTGCTATTGCACAATACTTATTATATAATAATTTACACATCCTGTTTGGTGTGTATCTCCTACCATATCATTATTATTTGCTTTTAAATATTAATCAGAAATAACCAACTTAAAATGGAAAATTTTAAAAGAAAAAAAAAAGGAAAAAAAGAAGAAAAAAAAATCCCCCCCCCAAATTTTTTGAAGCCCCTTATGATTCATCACCCCCAGACTCAATCCCAGCCTTCCCTTTGTGGTATGGTACCTTGCAGTACAATTTCAGAGAGATCCATACACTTGAACACAAGTTATTGTCTGGAAACTAGAAAAATGCTTATTTTTGGCCCCTTTTTGGCCCCCAATTCCTAAACGTTTCGGGCAATTACCCCCAAACTCAATTCAAGCTTTCCCTTTGTGATATAGAACCTTGTAGTACAATTTCAGAAATATCCAAACACTTACACACAAGTTATTGTCATGAAACTAGAAAAATGCTTGTTTTTTGCCCCTTTTTTGGCCCCTAATTCCTAAAATTTTGAGGCAATTACCCCCAAAATCAATAACAGCCTTCCCTTTGTGATATGGAACCTTGTGGTACAATGTCAGAGAGATCCATACACTTACATACAAGTTATTGTCTGGAAGTTACAAAAATGCTTATTTTTGGCCCCTTTTTGGCCCCTAATTCCTTAACTGTTGGTACCATAACCCCCAAAATCAATCCCAACCTTCCTTTCGTGGTATTGAACCTTATGGTAAAATTTCATGGAGATCCATTCACTTAAACTAAAGTTAGAGTGCGAAAATCAATGTGTCTTCGGACGATGCCGGACGACGCCAACGTCATACCAATATACGACCAAAAATTTTTTAATTTTTGTGGTCGTATAAAAAGATGTTTCAGCAAAAAGTGACAAAATAGGAGGCATAAAAGTACATCATGTGATTAAGATTCTGTGAAATTTAATAAAATTCTGTCAGTGGTTCAGGAGCAGTTCATTGAACCATTACATTAATGAATATATTAATATTTTTTTTTTACTTTGGAAAAAACTATACTTACCACAATCATTTTGGCTATCAAATATTTACAGAATGGTAGTGCCTGAGGACAGGCAGCCAAGGAAAATCGTTTTCCAGACAAATCTACTGTCCGTCCAGCTAGCAATGTCAATAGCCTGGTCAGTTGGTCATTCAGATGATCACCACTCACTGGTGATATATTGTTGATAGGCGTGTTAATAGATTTCTGGATGTCAAATTTCATCTTCTTCAGCTGAAAAAAAGGGTTTACAAAGAGATATGCCTCACTAGCTGGGCAGCAAAGTAAAACAATACATAAATTTAATTAAGAAATTTTTGTGTGCATTTATTATTGCAATTTTTCAAGAATAGACAAGGGCAAAGTAAATGCTTTTATTGCTGTTCTCCTTCTCAAAGTCACACTTAGGCCGTCAACATGGAACAAAAACTCTCACCTCAGTGCAATTTCAAGATGGCCCAGCAATCACAATATACAAATACAACAATACATATCTATTGTTGATGACTTTATGTTGACCTTCAGATGTCTTTTGGTTAATTGTGGTGCTTGCTTGCTGTCTCATTGACATATATGCCACATCACCTTTTATTCGTAATCATTGCATTAAAATATTGTGTTGCTGTTGTACATCTAGTAAAGTTTATACTGTGTCAGTGTTTTCACTTAAATAGAATTTGTGTGCAATGTGTAATTTTTCAAAGTGAAATGTACATGCTTCCTACAAAATATATGTGCATTTGGAATTTTATAGATTTATCATTCCGAGTATATTAAAACTTTTGGTTTTTTTTTCAATTTGTAGGATAATATTCCAGTTTACAAATTGATAAAATCTGTACAAAATTGCTGTAAAGTCTTGTATCTAAAGCTGCAATTCATTTAATGACTTCATGGTCAGACTTAAATGACCATTTTATATCAAAACCTATCTTTTTGACATATTTGAATAGCATATTAAAAGTTACCTAAACATAGTAATGTAGAAAATTTAGGGAAAATAGGAAGTGCTGGTTCAAAGATTAGGAGAAAATTTTCAAAACTTCACAGACATTGAATATTAAAATGGTTAATTAGTACCTGTGGATAATGGTCAAAACTTCAAAGACATTGAATAGGAAAATGATTAATTAGTACCGGTGGATCATTGTCAAAACTTCACAGACATTGAATATTAAAATGATTAATTAGTACCTGTGGATAATGGTCAAAACTTCACAGACATTGAATATTAAAATGATTAATTAGTACCTGTGGATAATGGTCAAAACTTCAAAGACATTGAATATTAAAATGATTAATTAGTACCCGTGGATAATGGTCAAAAGTTCACAGACATTGAATATTAAAATGGTTAATTAGTACCTGTGGATAATGGTCAAAACTTCAAAGACATTGAATATTAAAATGATTAATTAGTACCCGTGGATAATGGTCAAAAGTTCACAGACATTGAATATTAAAATGGTTAATTAGTACCTGTGGATTATTGTCAAAACTTCACATACATTGAATATTAAAATGATTATTTAGTACATGTGGATTTTGGTAAAAACTTCACAGACATTGAATAGGAAAATGATTAATTAGTACCTGTGGATTATTGTCAAAACTTCACAGACATTAAATAGGAAAATGATTAATTAGTACCTGTGGATTATGGTCAAAACTTCACAGACATTGAATAGGAAAATGATTAATTAGTACCTGTGGATAATGGTCAAAACTTCACAGACATTGAATATTAAAATAGTTCATTAGTACCTGTGGATAATGGTCAAAACTTCACAGACATTCAATAGGAAAATGATTAATTAGTACCTGTGGATTATTGTCAAAACTTCACAGACATTGAATAGGAAAATGATTAATTAGTACCTGTGGATAATGGTCAAAACTTCACAGACATTGAATAGGAAAATGATTATTTAGTACCTGTGGATTATTGTCAAAACTTCACAGACATTGAATAGGAAAATGATTTAATTAGTTCCTGTGGATAATGGTCAAAACTTCAAAGACATTGAATAGGAAAATGATTAATTAGTACCTGTGGATAATTAGTCAAAAGTTCACAGACATTGAATAGGAAAATGATTAATTATTACGCGTGGATTATTGTCAAAACTTCACAGACATTGAATAGGAAAATTATTAATTAGTACCTGTGGATTATGGTCAAAACTTTACAGACATTAAATAGGAAAATGATTAATTAGTACCTGTGGATATTGGTCAAAACTTCAAAGACATTGAATAGGAAAATGATTAATTAGTACCTGTGGATAATTAGTCAAAAGTTCACAGACATTGAATAGGAAAATGATTAATTATTACCCGTGGATTATTGTCAAAACTTCACAGACATTGAATAGGAAAATTATTAATTAGTACCTGTGGATTATGGTCAAAACTTTACAGACATTAAATAGGAAAATGATTAATTAGTACCTGTGGATAATGGTAAAAACTTCACAGACATTAAATAGGAAAATGATTAATTAGTACCTGTGGATTATGGTCAAAACTTCACAGACATTGAATAGGAAAATGATTAATTAGTACCTGAAGATAATGGTCAAAACTTCACAGACATTGAATATTAAAATGATTAATTAGTACCTGTGGATAATGGTCAAAACTTCACTGACATTGAATAGGAAAATGAGTAATTAGTACCTGTGGATTATTGTCAAAACTTCACAGACATTGAATAGGAAAATGATTAATTAGTACCTGTGGATAATTAGTCAAAAGTTCACAGACATTAAATAGCAAAATGATTAATTAGTACCTGTGGATAATTAGTCAAAAGTTCACAGACATTGAATAGGAAAATGATTAATTAGTACCTGTGGATTATTGTCAAAACTTCACAGACATTGAATAGGAAAATGATTAATTAGTACCTGTGGATTATTGTCAAAACTTCACAGACATTGAATAGGAAAATGATTAATTAGTTCCTGTGGATAATGGTAAAAACTTCAAAGACATTGAATAGGAAAATGATTAATTAGTACCTGTGGATAATTAGTCAAAAGTTCACAGATATTGAATAGGAAAATGATTAATTAGTACCTGTGGATTATTGTCAAAACTTCACAGACATTGAATAGGAAAATGATTAATTAGTACCTGTGGATAATGGTCAAAACTTCACAGACATTGAATATGAAAATGATTAATTAGTACCTGTGGATTATTGTCAAAACTTCACAGACATTGAATAGGAAAATGATTAATTAGTACCTGTGGATTATTGTCAAAACTTCACAGACATTGAATAGGAAAATGATTAATTAGTACCTTTGGATTATGGTCAAAACTTCACAGACATTGAATAGGAAAATGATTAATTAGTACCTGTGGATTATTGTCAAAACTTCACGGACATTGAATATTAAAATAATTAATTAGTACCTGTGGATTATTGAACAAAGTTTTAGAGTCTTCATCGGCTTTCTTTATTAGCACCTGGAGATTGGTATACTGTGTAAAAGCATTCTGATCTACACATCTTAATACAGCCTCTGGAAAATCATGAAATATTCATATGTAAACTTTATCTCAATCAATTATATACCAGGTAAAATATCTCTTCATATTTGAAATTGAATCATTTTATTCACAATAATTAAAATTGAGTTATATTTTCAAAAATAAAGGTAATAATCCAGGATTTCAAGAATAACTATCAGAGTTGGATATGATTTAATAGCTATGAATTTTCAATTAACACATCAAAAAGAATGATTAATTCAATAATTAATCGGCATACAATTTCCAAAAAGTCATTCATCAAAAGTTTTACCGGAAATAATTCTAGATTTTGGTTAGTATGCATACAATAAGATGGAAAAACTTTGGAGAAATTATAATATGATTATAGTAGTATATGTAGGTAGAATATCTTAATATTTGACATATGGATAAGACTGGTCATATTATCATGATGTCCTACATTGCTACAGATATTATCACACTTTTATTATGATACTGAAAATTTCAACAGTTTTTGAAAGGTACAGTTGTAGGCATATTGTACTACAGAAATTGCAAACATTGGTCTATTGAAAATTTACCCTTAAAATTCATATCATCTTGACCAAGTCCTAAGGATATCTCCAAATAAATACAAACCTGCAGCAGATCTTGAGGATGATGATGGTGCTGGTGTGGAGGTAGCAAGAGGACTTGATGGTACTCCTGGTGTTGGAGGGACCTATAAATTATGTCATATAAGAGGTTTCCAATAAATCATTTAAATAAAAAAAAATATCAAAATAGCATATATACCAGTTTTATCTGAAAGACATTTTTTTATAAGTTCTCATTGGATACCTTAAACTTGTGAATCTGTGCACCATTACAGCAGCTTTTATGGATTTTGAATGGGTAACAGTCTAAATATCAGTGCATGCTATGCATGTCATACAAAAAGATATGTTTCAAATGTTTCTGAAATTTTTTTGATTTTTTTCCATGATTTGTTTTTGTAAAAAAGTTCTGGAAAAAATTAAAGCCCTCAAGTCTTGCATGATCAACAAATGTCATTTAAACAAAGATTATAACAATAACTTTTTGTTCTGAAGAGATATATAAACTCTGCAAATCATTAGCTTTGATAACAAATCTTGGATATAAAAGAAAAGTTAATTTAAAAGGGTTATTCACAAATTGGATCATTCCTATGATGGTTGATTAACCTTAGCCCCTTTATTGTAGACAAAATTCAAACCCAATCAAAAAATGTCATTTACTTGTTGACTGGTGAAACATCTAGCTTTGAGGGGCTGGACTAAATAGTTCCACATGTAACAAAATACAATAAGGATTCTTGTTCTGAATTGTATGGAAATCAATAACTCAGCATGAGCTGTTCCTGATCAAATCATAACTTAAACAATTGTTCATGCTGCATCCACTGCTGTCAACACATGAATTAAAAAAACTACATCATGTACTAGAGTATTTCATGGAAGGTGAGACAAAATTGGAGATTTGTGTACACCTACATCATGTCCTTAGAGTATTTCAGCAGATGACACAAAAGTAGAGATCTGTTTCAAGTTAATTATTATCAGACCTACCACTGTAACTTTAGCAGCAGCAGCAGCAGCAGCTTCAGCTCTTGCCTTGGCCTCTATTTCTGCTCTGGCTTTCTTTTCTGCTTCCTCTTTAGCTTGCTCTTCTTTAATTTTCTTTGTTAACTCATCTGCAAAAAAAACCATCAGTATAAATGTATGTTTGATTCATAAACCAAAAGCATCATAAATACAATGGTAATTCTTCATTTATATATATCTACTCTATCTTATTGTCATTTAAGGAATGACTGTAATATTTTTTCTGTCTATGAAGAAATAACATCAAAAATGTGGTGCACACTGAATAACCCACGTAGCGGGTTATTTAAAAGTGTGCACCACATTTTTTAGGTTATTTCGAATAGACAGAAAAAAATATTACAGTCATTCCTTATAATTTAATTTTAAAAAGGGGTAAATCATGATAAAAACGTTGATGACGTCACGGTCACATGACAAAATTATGTCTATGAGCTGATAGACAAAACACTTTCAGCCAATCAGAAGACGTGTTACATCCAAAATTAAATTATAATCTAATGAAGAAACTGACAATTGAACAATAAAACAAACTGAAATTTGACATATCAATGATTTATTATAACTAGGTATCTGAATGGACCTCACCAAAATCTTAACATAAGGTGTTTACAGCAACACTGAGGAGAATACCTAGGCCTTGCTGTGCAACATGAATACTCAATTCTCCTTTTACCATCTAAGGATTAAGAAATAGAAATGGTTGGAATAATAAGTTTTCAATCAGCATAAAATATATACATTAAATGGAGGAACAGTCAAACATAATAACAAAATATATGTGTATTATAATAATAATAATAATAATAATAAATTCTTTATTTAAAGAGGGTAAACACAGTTGGTTACAATTACTAATCTTCCCTGAGGCCCTCATATAGAATACATGTAAAAAATAATAATAAGAGAAAAAAAGCAAACATACAACATATTAACACAATAGTATAGTCATGATAGTTCACTGTACATGTACCATAATTAGAACATATAAAACAGTTACAGATTGCATGTAGTGAATAGATATTATATACAAATCAAAATCATACATTCTAAAAAAAAGAGTAATAGTTGCAATCATTTCAAGACTGAATATTGGGACTGTCTCAAGTATTGTTTTATAATTTGTTTAAAAGAAAAAGTGTTTTGCACTTTACGCATTTCATATGGTAGTCCGTTCCATAAATTGATCCAAAATAAGCAAAAGATTTTTTAAACAGTTCAGTTTTTGGCTTAGGAACTATCAAATTACCTTGAGTGACACCCCTTAAAGCATAATTGGTAGTTAGTCCATGACATGGAACATTTCAAGCTGTACGATGCTTAGTCAATCAAAGACATTGTTGGTTATGACAGTCATATCTAAATATAGATCTGTACAGGCATTACATTAGTATATCCATCACATGAATTAAATAATCATTCACAGCTCGTTTAGGTCACTTTTGGTTACAGAAAAGCTTGTAAAGCTTATGATGAACCCAATTGTATGTTAATTAAGACTTCAAATAAGCTAACAAATAAAACCTACCATATTCTTTTCTCATATATTCATATGCATTTAGACAAAGCTTGAGAATTTCTGTCATCTTAACAACTTCATTTGTATCAACATCTCTTGAAGCCATCTGTGTGACCTCTGTAAGTTTATTGCTGACTAAATTAAGTGCTTTTTTCAACGATTCGGGCAGTTTGTCTTTTGGGGTAAACTGTTCATACATAGTTTTCAGTCTCTCCATTATAGTAGCAATATCATTTCTTATAGTCTGGGCTATCTGGATTCTATCCTGTCTTTCTTTTTCTCTACAATGAAAACACTTAGTTATTAAGTTGAAAAATAATTTAAAATTTTCATATTTCAAAACTGATTTGGAATTTTAACAGTATAGCCTAAATTTCAGTATGATATCTAAAACTGTGGCATCTGTCTCAGCATCTTTTGCATGTTAAATATATATAAATGTTAATGGTAATAAAACAGTAAACATTTAGAGTACCAAAGTCACTTGTCCAGTAAGACAGAAGGTCACTAGAGGTAATTCAAATAGTAAATTTAATTTGGAGGAATAATAATGGTCACTAAAAATAGACTTTTATAAACAAGTGATCACTTAAGAGTACATCTATGTCTCTAAGCATTCCATTCAACTATTTAATGGAAATTAAAATATTAAAATGCATGAATTATTCATATTGTATACTAACTTTCTCTTTATTTCTTCTTTTAATTTTTCATGTTTCTTCTGTAACATCTATAACCATAAATTATAAATAGAATAAAATGCTCCGCAGGGCGCAGCTTGATACGACCGCAGAGGTCGAACCCTGAACAGTTGGGGCAAGTATGGACACAACATTCAAGCTTGATACAGCTTTGCATTTGGATTGTGATTAAATATTTGACACAGCATAGGTTTCTGACACAGAATGAATGTGGTCTAAGAACTTAAAAATTTTAAATTGGACATTCACCTATTATGGTCCAATATCCAAAATCTAAATACATGGTTAAATTCAGCATATCAAAGAACCCCAAGAATTCAATTTTTGATGAAATCAAACAAAGTTTAATTTTGGACCCTTTTTACCTCAATGTGGACAAAGTTGATAACGGGGCCCAAAAATCAAAAATCTAAGTACATGGTAAGATTCAGCATATCAATGAACCCCATATATTCAATTTTTGTTGAAATCAAACAAAGTTTAATTTTGGACCCCGATTTGGACCAACTTGAAAACTGGGCCCATAATCAAAAATCTAAATACATGTTTAGATTCAGCATATCAAAGAACCCTAAGAATTCAATTTTTGTTAAAATCAAACTAAGTTTAATTTTGGACCCTTTGGACCTTAATGTAGACCAATTTGAAAACGGAACCAAAAATTAAGAATCTAAATTCACGGTTAGATTCGGCATATCAAAGAACCCCAATAATTCAATTTTTGATGAAATCAAACAAAGTTTAATTTTGGACCCTTTTGACCTCAATGTGGACCAATTTATAAAGGGGCCCAAAATCCAAAAACTAAATACACGGTTAGATTCAGCATATTAAAGAACCCCAAGAATTCAAGAATAAAACCCCATTGAATTTGGTCAAGAAATAAGCAATTTATACGAAGTATCTTCTTTTGCACAATACTGTGCAATTAAATATTTCTTGCTATTGCGCAATACTGTACAATTGACAATTTCTTGCTATTGCGCAATATTGTGCTATTGGATATTTCTTGCTATTGTGCAATACTGTGCAATTGAAGATTTCTTGCTATTGCACAATACTGTGCAATTGAAGATTTCTTGCTATTGTGCAATACTGTGCAATTGAAAATTTCTTGCTATTGCACAATACTTATTATATAATAATTTACACATCCTGTTTGGTGTGTATCTCCTACCATATCATTATTATTTGCTTTTAAATATAAATCAGAAATAACCAACATAAATTGGAAAATTTTAAAAGAAAAAAAAAAGGAAAAAAAGAAAAAAAAAGGAAATAAAAAAAATCCCCCACCCAAATTTTTTGAACCCCCTTATGATTCATCACCCCCAAACTCAATCCCAGCCTTCCCTTTGTGGTATGGTACCTTGCAGTACAATTTCAGAGAGATCCATAAACTTGAACACAAGTTATTGTCTGGAAACTTGAAAAATGTGTTTTTTGGCCCCTTTTTGGCCCCAAATTCCTAAACGTTTAGGGCAATTACCCCCAAACTCAAACCCAGCTTTCCCTTTGTGATATGGAACCTTGTAGTACAATTTCAGAAAGATCCATACACTTACACACAAGTTATTGTCCTGAAACTAGAAAAATGCTTGTTTTTTGTCCTTTCTGGCCCCTAATTCCTAAAATATTGAGGCAATTACCCCCATCATCAATCCCAGCCTTCCCTTTGTGGTATGGTACCTTGCAGTACAATTTCAGAGAGATCCATACACTTGAACACAAGTTATTGTCTGGAAACTAGAAAAATGCTTATTTTTGGCCCCTTTTTGGCCCCCAATTCCTAAACGTTTCGGCAATTACGCCCAAACTTAATTCCAGCTTTCCCTTTGTGATATGGAACCTTGTAGTACAATTTCAGAAAGATCCATACACTAACACACAAGTTATTGTCATGAAACTAGAAAAATGCTTGTTTTTTGCCCCTTTTTTGGCCCCTAATTCCTAAAATTTTGAGGCAATTACCCCCAAAATCAATCCCAGCATTCCTTTTGTGATATGGAACCTTGTGGTACAATGTCACAGAGATCCATAACTAACACAAAAGTTATGTCTGGAAGTTACAAAAATGCTTATTTTTGGCCCCTTTTTGGCCCCTAATTCCTTTACTGTTGGTACCATAACCCCCAAAATCAATCCCAACCTTTCTTTTGTGGTATTGAACCTTGTGGCAAAATTTCATAGAGATCCATTCACTTAAACTAAAGTTAGAGTGCGAAAACCAATGTGTCTTCGGAATACGCCGGACGACGCCAGACGACGACGACGACGCCAACGTCATACCAATATACGACCACAAAATTTCTTTTGCGGACGTATAATAAAAACAAACATTTATTTCCTTTCATATAAATTAATTACTGCTAATAAAAAGATGTTTAAGTTTTGGCAAATATCACATCAAACTAACAATCTCAATAAAATTTGACTCAGAGATATGTCTGCCCTTTAATGCAGTAAAATCAAAAACAGTAATTGGATAAACTTTGGTGTTAGTGAAGGTAAATGTTTTCGGTACTTCTTAACATTACCAGATCATAAATCTTTACTTAAGACCCCATACCCCAGTTGCACTATCATATTTTCAGGTCCTGTGAACTACTTAATTTGTTAAAACCCTGAATTTGGTATATATTCTAAAGAATTTACATCATATTAAACATGTGTACTTAGTTTCAAGTTGATGTTACTATAACATCATGGTAAACTATTTTGAGCTACTTAAAACCAAATCTTTAACCAATCAGAGGAAGGACAGACTTGAGAACTGATGGACAAACAGACCAGAAAACAAAATGTCTTATTATACTATAGTAGGGCATAATCTAAGTGGAAAGGGTAAAGATTGCATTCATTTTGCATTGGGAACTTAAAATTAAAACTTGCATTACATTAAGCGTAAGAAGGCAATTATATGAATTGGATCAACTACAAATGTACAATTATGGGCAATTGAAAATAACTCCAACTTCAAATATCACTTTAACAATGACATCATTGATATATTTAAAATAGATACTAGATCCATGCACCATGCACAATCTATGTAATTTTCTTGGCAAGTATTGGTTATACACATACACGTCATTTTGTAACTTGAATATGTGAGTATATATTCATTGATATATTTCTTGAAATGTTTAGAATGTTGTGCTCAATGCACTATGTTTTATTTAACACAAAAGTAGTGATAAATAGATATAAGAAGATGTGGTATGAGTGCCAATGAGACAACTCTCCATCCAAGTCAAAATCTATAAAAGTAAACCATTATAGGTCACAGTACGGTCTTCAACACGGAGCCTTGGCTCACACCGAACAGTAAGCTATAAAGGGCCCCAAAAAATTACTAGTGTAAAACCATTCAAACGGGAAAACCAACGGTCTAATCTATATAAAAAACGAGAAACGAGAAACACTTATGAACCACATCAACAAACGACAACTACTGAACATCAGATTCCTGACTTAGGACAGGTGCAAACAAATGCAGCGGGTTTAAACGTTTTAATGGTACCAAACCTTCACCCTTTTTCCGAAACAATAGTGTAACATCACAACATAGAAAGACACACTATAAAATATCAACTGAAATAGCTTAACTCAATCAAAGGACATATTAACACCATTGAACATACACTGAATAAATAAATTTGACCTATGACACAATGTAAATACAAAATAAATAAACTAAGGGAAGAATAATAAAAGTAACATGTTATATCAGTAAGAAATGTAAAACAATTAAAGAAAAACAATATGCTCTAACAAAAATATCAGCCATTTGCAAAAACTTTAAACACAGGTAAATGAAAATAATTTTGTTGTTAGGTATACGTGTACAGTACCAATAGAGAAAGGAAATATTTTTACAAAATAAATAATTTTGATGTTCATAGTACGAAGTGAAAATTTATAGTTATACCAAACACTTATCAAAGCTGGTATATAGACCAGATATAACCCTGAATAACATTAAATAACAATAAACTGCTTCGCTGAGCGCAGCTGGATACGCCCGCAGAGGTCCAACCCTGAACAGTTGGGGCAAAAATGGACACAATATTCAAGCTTGATACAGGTCTGAATTTGGATTGTAATTAAATATTTGACATATTATAGGTTTCTGAATAAATGTAGTCAAAGAACTTGAAATTGGTTATATGAATTGAATTTATATTCAATTAAAGATTTCTTGTTGTTGTGCAATACACTGTGCCGTTGCGCAATACTTAGTAAATCTGTTGTCAGACTATAAACAAATAAAGTTCAATTAATTCTCAATGTCATATTAGAAATTTATGAAAATGTAAAGGGAGCTTACATCAATAGATATAAACAATTCACCAAAGTTTCATGAGAATTGCTGACAGCATTTTTGAGTTATTGTCCGAAAACTGGAAAATTCCCCCCTTTTTTAATGAATAAAACCCCATAACTCAGAAATGATAAATGAAAAATTTATAAAATTCTAAACGGAGCTTACATCAATAGATATATAAACAATTCACCAAAGTTTCATAAGAACTACTGAAAGCATTTTTGATTTTTTGTCCGAAAACTGAAAATCCCCCTTTTTTTAATGAATAAAACCCCATAACTCGGAAACGTAAAATCTAAAATTTATAAAAAACGACAGGGAGCTCATGTCAATAGATATAAAAAATTCACCACAATTTCTTGCAAGTTGGTGAAAGCATTCTTGAGCTATTGTCCGAAAACTGGAAAATCCCCCTTTTTTTAATGAATAAAACCCCATAACTCGGAAACGTAAAATCTATAATTTATAAAAATCGAAAGGGAGCTCACGTCAATAGATATAAACAATTCACCACAATTTCTTGCAAGTTGGTGAAAGCATTCTTGAGCTATTGTCCGAAAACTGGAAAATCCCCATTTTTTTAATGAATAAAACCCCATAACTCGGAAACATAAAATCTAAAATTTATAAAAAACGAAAGGGAGCTCACGTCAATAGATATAAACAATTCACCAAAGTTCTATGCAAATTGGTTAAATCGTTTTTGAGTTAATGTCCGACATGTTGACGACGGACGGACGGACGGACAGACGGATGGACGGACGGACAGACAGACGGACGGACGGACAGAGGTATACCATAATACGTCCCGTAAACGGGCGTATAAAAAAGCAATACAATTAGCATCAACAGGTCAAATAAACAAGAAAGTACGATTTGAGAGTAGTCGCAGTTACTGACAGCTAGTTAAAAGCCAAAACAATTAATAATAAAAAATCATGCATCAGAGACTAAAATCAACTAAAACACATCCCAGGGATTTAGTATTTTAACGTCATGGACAGTCAAAGAAGACATGACTAGTGCAATGCCAAAAATAAATGTATTGACAGACAGTAGGATAGTAAGGAGTTTAACCTCTTTATAGATCTAAACGAACGTGGGATAAAGTCTGGAAAATTCAGCCACATAAAACTAAAGACATTAGAATAAACTTACAACGAAGATATATGTATTTAGATTTAATATTATCAAGTTCCAAATATTAATGGTCTATTGTAAGTACCTAGGAACATGCCTAAAAATGTATAAATTTGAACAATGTAAAAATTATAAAATAGATAAAAGCAATGTCTTAAAACAACAGAAATCATTAAAGAATAAATATGGAATGTGTCCATGGGACACAGATGATGCCCCTGCTTGCATATCATATAAAGTTATTAAGGGACATAATTGAAGGCCAGTAAATGTGACGCTACCCAAATTTCTTATTAATCTGAGTTTTGTAGTAATAAGTATTGTGTATAAGTTTCATAACATTTGGCTGAGGCTAACTTAAGTTAGAGAATGGAAACGAAAAATTCAGCAATTCTTCCTTTTGTAAAGGGGCATAACTCTAGAACGGTTAAAGTGACACCACCAAAATTCAAACTTGATCTGTGTTGTGTGGTAATAAGCATTGTGTATAAGTTTCATAACATTTGGTTGAGGCAAACTAAAGTTAGAGAATGGAATCCAACTTTGGGACGTACATACGGATGGACAAGGGTAAAACTTAATGCCCCCTACGCTATTGTGGGGGCATAATAATTAATATAATCAGCAAAAGTATTAATCTGATCTCTGTTAAGCCACTCAATCAAATAAATCATCATACCTGAGCATGCTCTCTATGATCTTCTTTCAACTTCCTCTGTTTTTCCTGCAGTTCAATTGTTCTGAAACAAAGTTTAAATTATTACCAATGACATAAAAAACAAAAACAAGATTCAATTGTTGGTCTGGACCTTTGTGTTTTTGTTTTCAGACAGAGTAAAAATTCTAATCACAGATCTATGGCCTTTCCGTGTACTCTATAGTTATGTCATAAATCTATGGAGCAGACTTTGATACATTATTTCATTTAAACTATTGTATTACTTTGAAATACATAAAATAAATCATACAATTTGACGTCTTCAATTTTTGCCAAAGATACTGCAATCTTTTTATTTACATACAGGACTTCCATCCCAAGAAGAAGACCAATTTTTAAACTAAGTTAAAGAAGCAAAAGTAGAATTGGTCAATTTAGGTTTTTTAGGGTACAATTTTTTCCTGCTTTTAAATATACCATTATTGATTATTGATTATAACAAGGAACTTTATTTTTTCACTAAGTATACTGGTCTTGTCCCAGAGCATATAAGAAACATTAAAATATTTTAAATTCAGAAACTTCTGTGTTCATTTAATATTACAATTGCTGAACAATGGAAAAAGATACCAGATTAATTATTACGATTTCAGAAAATGCTGCATTCAAATTATGTTATCAAAATTTAAAATGCTCCAATTTATAGGACAATATAAATATACGGAATATATAATAATTTGAATTCCCAAGTTACAGATACATGTAAGGTTTGCATACTGTTGCATGAATTGTAATTCTAAGGTTTGCATACTGTTGCATGAATTGTAATTCTAAGGTTTGCATACTGTTGCATGAATTGTAATTCTAAGGTTTGCATACTGTTGCATGAATTGTAATTCTAAGGTTTGCATACTGTTGCATGAATTGTAATTCTAAGGTTTGCATACTGTTGCATGAATTGTAATTCTAAGGTTTGCATACTGTTGCATGAATTGTAATTCTGTTTCCTGCTGTTGTTCTTCAGCTTTGTTCTGTTGGTTTCTCTGTAATACTGACAACTTATTCTCAGCCTCATTCTGAAGTTTCTTGGTATGTTCTGTAAACCTTTGCTGTTTGTTGTATACCTTAATCTAATGAAAGAAAGTTATATTTGTACAGTTTAAAGTTCAAAAACAAACTCAAAGACGAATGCCAAACTTACTACTGCAGTTGGACATTAGCGCCATTCCATTCTTTGTTTAAAACCTTTAACCTGTGAGGAACTGTCAAGATGAATAACAACAATACCAGTAAGTTCCTTTTATAAATAAACTAAAATATCACGGCATTAAGGTAATAGGTACGTAAATGGATGATCTCGCGGAATTTTATGAAATTTTGCATACAACTAGAGCACAAGAGACTGCGCATGAAAATCCAAACAGTTATAAATATAACTTTTAAACTTTCTGAGATATACACTGTAGCAAATAAAATATTTAGAAAATAGTAGTACAAATGTATGGAATACACGTAAATATCGCTAAAAAGTTGAGCAATTTTTACTTATAATCTACTTTTCTCGAAATCATGTCCTACAAATTTTCTTTAGAAATGATATTTTATTGTTACTGAAATTTCAGTTTTATTGATATCAAATTTATAAGGGTCAATGAATTCGTTTTTTGAGTATGAATAGTTGAATCTTCTGTACATCATAGAAAAAACGCTGAAAAGGCAAAAATAATCATGACATCGTTGCTAGAAATATTATTTTTCAACGTTTTTATATACATGTATTACAAAGAGACGAAAATGATTTATACAGCAAAAAGAAGTCTGTGCCCCCCCCCCAAAAAATTTGATATCAATAAAACGGAAATATTAATGGCATTATTATATCAGTTTTAAATAAAATTCGTAGGACATGTTTTTGAGAAAAGGCAATTTAAAGTCAATTTTTTTTTTCAATATTTACGTGCGTCCTATACATTTGTACTTTTGAATATTTAATTTGCTATATATCTGAAAGTATAAAAGTTACTTACATGTATATAATTTTTCGATATTCATATGCAGTTCCACATGCTCAAATTTCTTGCAAAATTTTATAAAAATCAGTGAGATTGCCCATTTATGCACCTATTACCTTAATTTACATTTACATTCATCTCATTACTTTTCTTTTTGTCTCACATGCGACTACAGCAAATTCAATATTTTTTTTCATACTTTATTGATAACTCATTGTATGGTATGGGTTTTGTTTGTTGTTGAAGGCCCCACCTATGGTTGCTTACATCCATGTCATTTGGCCACTGGGGAATAGTTTGTCTCATTGCCAGTCATTGGCCATCATTCCACATCTTCTTATTTTTAAATTAGTTTTTTTTTGCAATTACCATTTAGATACAGTCATAGGATACAGTTTTTTAACACATCAGTAACTTTGTCAAACCGTCATAGGATTTTATGAAACTTGGACAGAGCTTTTTTTTATAATAGAGAGATAACATCCGAAGTAAAATTTAGATTTTTTTTTACTGTAGATATTGAACTGAATTTTGTTGAACAATTGAAATCATGGTTTTCATTACCTATAAAATTTACCAATGTTAGTACCAATACTGACCTTAATCTCCTTGTCAAGAGAGTTTTCATAATCCTTAACTGCTAGTATACTCTTTGTGTACTCTGGTGAAACTGGAATTATGTTCTTTTTATGTGGAGGGGAGACAATCTCAACTGGTAATGTAGGGGAGACAATCTCCACTGTCCTTGGTGATGAAGAGTCTGTTCTGATGGTTGATTGGACAACATTATCATATGATGATTCACTGGCATTACTAAACAATTATTACATATTAATAAATAATGAGAAAATCTTATCCAATTTTATATCAGATTTATTTTTTGTACAACTTTAAGTGATTTAAGAGAAGTAATATTTTTGCAATGTTAAAGTTTTTATTGACCTAAGTGATGTGCAATAGGTAAAGGTCAATATTGGTTCCTTGTCCTTAGCTCTATATCAATTATCAATAAAATGCTCCGCAGGGCGCAGCTTGATACGACCGCAGAGGTCGAACCCTGAACAGTTGGGGCAAGTATGGACACAACATCCAAGCTTGATACAGCTTTGCATTTGGATTGTGATTAAATATTTGACACAGCATAGGTTTCTGACACAGAATGAATGTGGTCTAAGAACTTAAAAATTTTAAATTGGACATTCACCTATTATGGTCCAATATCAAAAATCTAAATACATGGTTAGATTCAGCATATCAAAGAACCCCATATATTCAATTTTTGTTGAAATCAAACAAAGTTTAATTTTGGACCCCGATTTGGACCAACTTGAAAACTGGGCCCATAATCAAAAATCTAAATACATGTTTAGATTCAGCATATCAAAGAACCCTAAGAATTCAATTTTTGTTAAAAACAAACTAAGTTTAATTTTGGACCCTTTGGACCTTAATGTAGACCAATTTGAAAACAGAACCAAAAATTAAGAATCTAAATACACAGTTAGATTAGACATATCAAAGAACCCCAATAATTCAATTTTTGATGAAATCAAACAAAGTTTAATTTTGGACCCTTTTGACCTCAATGTGGACAAAGTTGATAACGGGGCCCAAAAATCAAAAATCTAAATACATGGTTAGATTCAGCATATCAAAGAACCCCATATATTCAATTTTTGTTGAAATCAAACAAAGTTTAATTTTGGACCCAGATTTGGACCAACTTGAAAAAATGGGCCCATAATCAAAAATCTAAATACATGTTTAGATTCAGCATATCAAAGAACCCTAAGAATTCAATTTTTGTTAAAATCAAACTAACTTTAATTTTTGACCCTTTGGACCTTAATGTAGACCAATTTGAAAACGGAACCAAAAATTAAGAATCTAAATACACGGTTAGATTCGGCATATCAAAGAACCCCAATAATTCAATTTTTGATGAAATCAAACAAAGTTTAATTTTGGACCCTTTGGACCTCAATGTGGACCAATTTAAAAACGGGGCCCAAAATCCAAAAACTAAATACAGGGTTAGATTCAGCATATTAAAGAACCCCAAGAATTCAAGAATAAAACCCCATTGAAATTGGTCAAGAAATAAGCAATTTATACGAAGTATCTTCTTTTGCACAATACTGTGCAATTAAATATTTCTTGCTATTGCGCAATACTGTACAATTGACAATTTCTTGCTATTGCGCAATATTGTGCTATTGGATATTTCTTGCTATTGCACAATACTTATTATATAATAATTTACACATCCTGTTTGGTGTGTATCTCCTACCATATCATTATTATTTTCTTTTAAATATAAATCAGAAATAACCAACTTAAAATGGAAAATTTTAAAAGAAAAAAAAAAGGAAAAAAAGAAAAAAAAAGGAAAAAAAAAAAAATCCCCCCCAAATTTTTGGAACCCCCTTATGATTCATCACCCCCAAACTCAATCCCAACCTTTACTTTGTGGTATGGTACCTTGCAGTACAATTTCAGAGAGATTCATACACTTGAACACAAGTTATTGTCTGGAAACTAGAAAAATGTGTTTTTTGGCCTCTTTTTGGCCCCAAATTCCTAAAATATTGAGGCAGTTACCCCCATCATCAATCCCAGCCTTCCCTTTGTGGTATGGTACCTTACAGTACAATTTCAGAGAGATCCATACACTTACACACAAGTTATTGTCCTGAAACTAGAAAAATGCTTGTTTTTTGCCCCTTTTTGGTCCCTAATTCCTAAAATATTGAGGCAATTACCCCCATCATCAATCCCAGCCTTCCCTTTGTGGTATGGTACCTTGCAGTACAATTTCAGAGAGATCCATACACTTGAACACAAGTTATTGTCTGGAAACTAGAAAAATGCTTATTTTTGGCCCCTTTTTGGCCCCCAATCCCTAAATGTTTCGGCAATTACCCCCAAACTCAATTCCAGCTTTCCCTTTATGATATGGAACCTTGTAGTACAATTTCAGAAAGATCCATACACTTACACACAAGTTATTGTCATAAAACTAGAAAAATGCTTGTATTTTGCCCCTTTTTTGGCCCCTAATTCCTAAAATTTTGAGGCTATTACCCCCAAAATCAATCCCAGCATTCCTTTTGTGATATGGAACCTTGTGGTACAATGTCAGAGAGATCCATACACTAACACACAAGTTATGTCTGGAAGTTACAAAAATGCTTATTTTTGGCCCCTAATTCCTTTACTGTTGGTACCATAACCCCCAAAATCAATCCCAACCTTCCTTTTGTGATCTAAATACATGGTTAGATTCAGCATATCAAAGAACCCCATATATTCAATTTTTGTTGAAATCAAACAAAGTTTAATTTTGGACCCCGATTTGGACCAACTTGAAAAAATGGGCCCATAATCAAAAATCTAAATACATGTTTAGATTCAGCATATCAAAGAACCCTAAGAATTCAATTTTTGTTAAAATCAAACTAACTTTAATTTTTGACCCTTTGGACCTTAATGTAGACCAATTTGAAAACGGAACCAAAAATTAAGAATCTAAATACACGGTTAGATTCGGCATATCAAAGAACCCCAATAATTCAATTTTTGATGAAATCAAACAAAGTTTAATTTTGGACCCTTTGGACCTCAATGTGGACCAATTTAAAAACGGGGCCCAAAATCCAAAAACTAAATACAGGGTTAGATTCAGCATATTAAAGAACCCCAAGAATTCAAGAATAAAACCCCATTGAAATTGGTCAAGAAATAAGCAATTTATACGAAGTATCTTCTTTTGCACAATACTGTGCAATTAAATATTTCTTGCTATTGCGCAATACTGTACAATTGACAATTTCTTGCTATTGCGCAATATTGTGCTATTGGATATTTCTTGCTATTGCACAATACTTATTATATAATAATTTACACATCCTGTTTGGTGTGTATCTCCTACCATATCATTATTATTTTCTTTTAAATATAAATCAGAAATAACCAACTTAAAATGGAAAATTTTAAAAGAAAAAAAAAAGGAAAAAAAGAAAAAAAAAGGAAAAAAAAAAAATCCCCCCCAAATTTTTGGAACCCCCTTATGATTCATCACCCCCAAACTCAATCCCAACCTTTACTTTGTGGTATGGTACCTTGCAGTACAATTTCAGAGAGATTCATACACTTGAACACAAGTTATTGTCTGGAAACTAGAAAAATGTGTTTTTTGGCCTCTTTTTGGCCCCAAATTCCTAAAATATTGAGGCAGTTACCCCCATCATCAATCCCAGCCTTCCCTTTGTGGTATGGTACCTTACAGTACAATTTCAGAGAGATCCATACACTTACACACAAGTTATTGTCCTGAAACTAGAAAAATGCTTGTTTTTTGCCCCTTTTTGGTCCCTAATTCCTAAAATATTGAGGCAATTACCCCCATCATCAATCCCAGCCTTCCCTTTGTGGTATGGTACCTTGCAGTACAATTTCAGAGAGATCCATACACTTGAACACAAGTTATTGTCTGGAAACTAGAAAAATGCTTATTTTTGGCCCCTTTTTGGCCCCCAATTCCTAAATGTTTCGGCAATTACCCCCAAACTCAATTCCAGCTTTCCCTTTATGATATGGAACCTTGTAGTACAATTTCAGAAAGATCCATACACTTACACACAAGTTATTGTCATAAAACTAGAAAAATGCTTGTATTTTGCCCCTTTTTTGGCCCCTAATTCCTAAAATTTTGAGGCTATTACCCCCAAAATCAATCCCAGCATTCCTTTTGTGATATGGAACCTTGTGGTACAATGTCAGAGAGATCCATACACTAACACACAAGTTATGTCTGGAAGTTACAAAAATGCTTATTTTTGGCCCCTAATTCCTTTACTGTTGGTACCATAACCCCCAAAATCAATCCCAACCTTCCTTTTGTGATCTAAATACATGGTTAGATTCAGCATATCAAAGAACCCCATATATTCAATTTTTGTTGAAATCAAACAAAGTTTAATTTTGGACCCCGATTTGGACCAACTTGAAAAAATGGGCCCATAATCAAAAATCTAAATACATGTTTAGATTCAGCATATCAAAGAACCCTAAGAATTCAATTTTTGTTAAAATCAAACTAACTTTAATTTTTGACCCTTTGGACCTTAATGTAGACCAATTTGAAAACGGAACCAAAAATTAAGAATCTAAATACACGGTTAGATTCGGCATATCAAAGAACCCCAATAATTCAATTTTTGATGAAATCAAACAAAGTTTAATTTTGGACCCTTTGGACCTCAATGTGGACCAATTTAAAAACGGGGCCCAAAATCCAAAAACTAAATACAGGGTTAGATTCAGCATATTAAAGAACCCCAAGAATTCAAGAATAAAACCCCATTGAAATTGGTCAAGAAATAAGCAATTTATACGAAGTATCTTCTTTTGCACAATACTGTGCAATTAAATATTTCTTGCTATTGCGCAATACTGTACAATTGACAATTTCTTGCTATTGCGCAATATTGTGCTATTGGATATTTCTTGCTATTGCACAATACTTATTATATAATAATTTACACATCCTGTTTGGTGTGTATCTCCTACCATATCATTATTATTTTCTTTTAAATATAAATCAGAAATAACCAACTTAAAATGGAAAATTTTAAAAGAAAAAAAAAAGGAAAAAAAGAAAAAAAAAGGAAAAAAAAAAAAATCCCCCCCAAATTTTTGGAACCCCCTTATGATTCATCACCCCCAAACTCAATCCCAACCTTTACTTTGTGGTATGGTACCTTGCAGTACAATTTCAGAGAGATTCATACACTTGAACACAAGTTATTGTC